CAGATTTGTTTTTAAATGTATGATATATAGTTTTGAATAAAGTTGTTTAAACATTTGTTTAACAACAAGTAAAGGCTTGGAATCGTTTATTTCTTCATTGGGGGTGTGTCTGTGAGCCAGACTAGTTTCGGAGAATTCCACTCCTCATCAGTGACCCTGGTTTCTTTTTTGTGAGAGTAAAACACTTAAATACACCATTTCGATATATAGTTTTGTTCGTATCAGAAAGCGAAGACATTTAAAAATACTTTACATATCAATATGTAGTGTTTATTTGGAAACCCAGATTTTAATTAATATAATATTCATTAGCCAAATATCAACAAGCGAAATCATAAAATGGCCTGTTGTTAAAATCACCAGCAGCAAATCTCTGCAAAAAATTCAGATTTAGAGATAGTTATTAAGTTTACCCATTTTATATTCAAAGAAAACCAAGGGGAAAACTGTGATACTTAAGATGCGATAGACGAAACAGTGTTACTTACCCGTTGTTAGGTTGAAGCAAAATATATTGAATTTTGTGAGCTATTTTTAAAGTTTTTCCAGGATTATGGGAACTTGTTTTGCAAATTATTTGTGGTCTACAATTTTGGAATTTTCCTTTTTTGCATTTAATAATTATTTTGGTAACTAAGAAACTAAATCTTTTACAGAACTGTTAAGGTAATACTTTATGTTTCACCAAATAATTTCAAACATAAACAAATGGTTATTTATTTTTTTTACATGCATTTCAACTGTTACTATTAATTAACTTTCATTTGAAATCATTATTAACTTAGGTTTTTGTTTCAGGAACGTGACATAGAGCTAGCTAAGGAAGCTCAACGTCAAGACGAAAATGACCGACTTCGAAGAGAGTTTGCCAAACATGCTAATGCCTTCCACCAGTGGTTGACAGAAACAAGGCAAGAATAACTTTGTGGTTGTCAATGATGTTAGATTATTTTATCCATTTTATTAATCAAAAAGAGATGTTGCACTTTTTTCTTCCAAGAAGAATAAAAGTTAAGTGCTGAAGATCTTTCTTGTTTTAAAAGTGAATGGCTAAACATTAAATAAAGTTAATGTTTTAAGGAAAGTCTTACAGTCGTGTTTAATACACAGAAGCTAAGTGACCAGAATGAAGGAATTTTGATTTTACTTTACATATTTTGAATGCATTTCTTTTAATTCTTTTAAGTTTAAATAAAATAAATGAAATGTAAACCCTTTTTATCCGTTAACAACGGAAATATTCTGTGCGTGGGTTAAGGCTTAGTCATTCGGAAGAGAACTGTGTTATTGATAAAGAAAAAAATACACATCTATATAAATCCATGTTATTGATAACGTGTCGTCATGTATTATAAATCATACGCCTGAGTATAAAACTATGATGAAGGTAGAGAATATTTTTTGGTAATTGGTTTATTTAATTTTCTTCCATAAAATTTTTATAGTAATTACACTTATGTGTTATTTGTCGGTCTAATTTTTACTTGTTGGTTTTTGTTTCAGTTGAAACACAGTACAATATCTTTCTTTGAGCAGTTTTTTCTTTTTTTCCGTTAAGAGTAACTTAGTGGTGAGGAATATATTTGGTATTTGTTTATCATTATGTATAGTATCATAATACAAACTAATAGATGTATTTATTTGTAGTTTTATGTTTTATTCTGATTGTTCAATTTTTCACTCTCATCTTTTGAAAGATATCTAAATCTCGACTAAAACTGGTAAAATGCAAGAAATTTAATAATCGTAGACTAATGTATTCTATGATTTTACATGGCTTTCACATATTACGTACATAATATTTTCTTCCTAATTTACTGGCTGGCCTTCATATTTATAAACGTTTCTAATATGCAACTTTATTAAAATCGTAAATTGATTTACACATGCAAGTTTATAAAGTTGTATTGTGAAATGTATTGTTCCTATTCGCGAACCTGTAGGCCTATGGCCCTTATTTACACGGCTGCTATAATGCAAATTTAATGCTTGAACTACTATTTTGCACTTTTTCAGTTTCATTGCTGCTATGATAAAAAATTTAATTTCTTTAACGAAGTTACAAATGGTAATTAGTAGGCATACTTATTTACCTGCTCTAATGTAAATCAATGACACATTTGGGGTCTGCTTTCAGGGAATCCCCAAAAAAAATGTTTTTTGTAAAATACCTGGGTTTCCCAAGGGGTTGAGTGAAAAGTTTTACCTTTGTGTAAACCTTGGGGCTAAAAGAATTTGTTTGGTACCCACATACAAGTTGGTGCGACCAGCGGTTAAGGAGGAGTTACGTGACACACAGAAGCTGAATCTTGTTATATAGAAGGAGTTACGTGACACACAGAAGCTGAATCTTGTTATATAGAAGGAGTTACGTGACACACAGAAGCTGAATCTTGTTATATAGAAGGAGTTACGACACACACAGAAGCTGAATATTGTTATATAGAAGGAGTTACTGCTGTGCAACTGGGGGGGCTAAAAGATTATTTTATAACAGTTTTGAATCATTCTCTCTCTCTCTTCTTTTTTTTTGTTTGAAGTTAAGCACAAAGCTACACAATGGGCTATCGGTGCTCTGCCCACCACGGGTATCGAAACCCGGATGCTAGCATTGTAAGTCTGCAGACATACCGGTGTTCCACTGGGGGACTAAATATCAATAACACCTACAAGTAAACAAAGGCAAAAAACACTTATCATAAATAGTGCATAAGCATCGTATAAAAAAATAATTATGAGTGTTTTAGTATTTAGTATGAGCAGTTTCCATCCTTGACCATCTTATACACATCACACAGACAGCTCACCGGGCCTGGATTTGTTGTTCCAAGTTGTGTTGCATCCTCATTCCTAGCTGATCCAGTTGGTCCCACTGCTGTGCCAAGCCAACAGTACTGTGTTCAGTGTACCGGTTATCCAGGATCAGATGCTCTTCTAGTGTTGCACCCAGATCTTCCAGTTTCTTAAGGTCAGCTCTCTTAGCCCTTACTTCCACTGACTTATCCTGGTCAAAGAACAATTAGCACGGTTCATGTTATCAGTTAGTGAAACTACCTTATGCACATCATGTACATGTGGTATTAAAATCACCATTAAGTTACACAACTGGAAGTTTTCCGAGATATACAACACAGTTTATTCAATCTGAGTTAATATAAACTAATAGAAACATTTTTCTCTTAGTGTCACATCGTATAGTAGTTGAGATTATACTCTGGTACAAAATTAAGCAACGTAATATTTTGCAGACCATTTACATAAATTATTTAATATAGTTTGCATAATTGTTTTACTTACTCTTATAGCTTCGAGTTGAGCTTCCAAGTTACCTGTAACCTCCATCATTGAGGATCTAAAAATAATGAGAATATTTTAAAACCATGTGAATGTAGACTTGAAAGAAAATCTAATTTATTGAGTTCCATATTCTCATGAAACTTAAATCTTTTGATATGAAAGAAAAAAGTTATTTTCTTGTAATCTTTTGCAATGAAAGGTTAATATCTATATAACAGGATTCAGCTTCTGTGTGTGTCATATAATTCCTTCTATACAACAAGATTCAGCCTCTGTACGTCACATAACCCCTTCGTATAACAAGATCCAGCTTCTGTGTGTCACATAACTCGTTCTGTATAACAAGATTCAGCTTCTGTGTGTGTCGGTATGTCTGCGGACTTACAACGCTAGAATCCGGGTTTCGATACCCGTGGTGGGCAGAGCACAGATAGCCCATTGTATAGCTTTGTGCTTAACTTAAAACACAAACAAAAAACATCTAACATCCAAACTATCTTCCTGGAAACGCTTAACTATTCACGAGTTTTCTCTTGAAAGTAAATGCAAATGATATAATATATATATGTTTTATGACAATGTTTATTTGATTTATTTTATCTTGTATTCGGTATATTTTTAGTATTAAGACTACAGAAACGACTTTTAGGTATGTTTTTTTTTCCCCACAGTTTTGCCAGTTTTCGTAGTTAAGATTTTGACCGGAAATTATCATTCACTTTGTAAGCAAGCATGATAAAAACATATTTAACTTATTGTCTTACCATGTTGTTGTATCTATCCGAAAGTTGTTCCTAATTAACTTGGGTATTTATATATACCATTATGTAAGCTTACTGTCTTATAATCATACATGAGATAAAATATTTTGTATTATGTATTACGAGTTTTTCATTATTCACAACAAATAGTATAAATGGGTCCAAATTTTAAGAAAAAAAAGAATAAGGCAATGGGTTAATTACAATGGGTAAAGTGGGACTTAACAGTATGCAGAATAGCACTTGATGTTAAGCGCAAAATGACACGACGGACTAGATGTGATCTGCCCACTGCAGGTGTAGAAACCTAATTTGTAGCGTTATAAGCTCACCGACTTATCCCTGAGCCACATTGGATGAGCCTTGAAGGTAGATCTAAGAAAACACCGAACTACATCCAGTAAAGTTGGGCTTTACAACAAACAGAACTATTATCAACAACGCTAGGTTTAACAAAGGTAGAACTACACTCGGTAAAGTTAGGACTAAATTAATATGGACGCGCACTCTATCGGTGATATCAGACAAAAAATATATACTATAGAACCGTCTTTGTCAGATAGCAAGATACCATATTTGGACGCACTCTTTTTGAAAAACAACAAAAACGATGGTAATATATGTTTCCTACCCCCCTTAGTTAATGTACAAATTTTTCGAAATTTTTGTTTTCTTTGTGTTCAGTTTTGACGTTGAAAATCACTCAAGTAAACAACCTACCTTTTCTTTACTTTAGCTGAGCGCGAGACCAGCTTTACTCTCATTGGCCATTAAACGTGTTCTCTTGCAGGCAGAATAGCTGTGATTTCTCTTGTGATATTATAAAATAGGCAGTTAACTTTCAGTCGGCAAATCGTGCAATAGCCCGTGAAGAGAGGGAAAGCAGACCAAATTTACGTGGATAGATGCGTACCATGAGCAGTCTGGCTTTGTTTATATTACTATATTTAAAGGTCAGGCTCTCTCCTGTTAAGAAGCATTGTTGTTATTTTAGACTTGGAGATTTTGTAAATTTTTAAAGAGAGTTTTGTTTCAGACTTAAATTAGCTTTGTTTTTTAACTTTTAATTTTCTTCCTCTTTTCTTATTTACACGGGGGGGATCACACTGAACTGGTGGGAGAGAAGCAATGGGAGCTTCGTTTAGCACTCTCACTCTCTTACCAGTTCCACACATCCATTAAAGAGACTTGTTTGTAAAGTGTTTGTCGTGGAACTTATTCTTAATAAAGGTTATGTTGTGCATTTTGTGTGTGGACTCTTTTTTCAGTTGGACTTCCTATTTAATGGACCCTACCCACTTACTCTAAGGGAAATCAACGTAACGAAAAATACTTTCTTGTACTCGCAAAAAAGAGAGAAACAAATAGCTATACAATTTAGTAAAATAAACTAAGCCTAATTCTGTTATTTCAAATGAAATTCAAGATTAAAGCTTTCCAATGTATTAAATTTATACTTTAAAAGGCACGACGTACAAACTCTTAAAGACTGTTACAATTTGGAAACATTAGAGGCAACGTCCACACGTTTACTTGTAACCAACGATGGAAAAAAGTGAGCGTTATTTTTATTATTATCTTTAAGTAATTCAATAAAAATAGTAAAATCAACCATTATTCGAGATAATTGAATCGATTTTTATGACCTTGAAACTTTCAAATAATCATTGTAACGTTTATTAAAACAGTATAGTGTTTTAGTCACCATTTTTGTACTAATTCGAAGCAAACGTGTCGAATTCGTTCAGTTCCCCACTTTAGTGGACGAGTTTTTTTATTCTCGTCTATTCGGTAAATTTTATGCTGTTTTGCACACATTCAATTAATGCTTCATAATTGCATTAATTTAATTACCTAATTGCAAACTCGTAAGAAACCGTTCGTTTCAAGAAGCTCGTAATTATAACCATAAGTCAAATAGATAGACAAAAAAAAAGAAATAGAGAACTGACAAGCGAATTGATTCTGATAAGAATTTAAACACTCCCTTTTTGTTATACTACTTTAGTGTTTTACGCGTGAAATGATTTTCAACTATGTAAAGATAATAAAATCTGTATATTCAGCGAATTATTAATGGAGCTCTACGTGCAAACGTTATGTATAGTCTTTTGTAGACATGAAGCGAATATGACGGAAATGTACCAAACACAATTAATTTTCTGATTATAGTCACAGCCTCCATTTAAATTAGAAATGACGTTCTTCAAAAGATAAAAAACTACTATAAATAAAAAGCCAGCTTAGACTAACACAAATAGTATCTTTATTTCGCTTTCAGAAGGGCATACTTTTATAGCAACGTTAACGTGTAAACCATATTTGTAGTTTCCTGATTGGAACTACATGAATGTTTCTACTTATAGAAAACTTTGAATCCAGAGTAAAAACATTTCAAGTTTGACATCTAACAGATCAGCTTGAATGTAATTTGTTATTCCAAACTAACGCATATTCTTATGCCCAACTAAAAGACTTTAAAAAAAATAAAATAGAACGTTAAAATCTCAGGCAGATAACTGCTTGTTTGAATTATGTGTCGATCAGTACCAGCTGTTACAGAACACGCTGAGCTGGGATGAAGTTTTGTCTTGGTAATTAGATATGAAATGTTCTAATAACTGATAGAAAATTGTGAAATAACAGTCTGCTTAAGAAGTGAAATTGATACAGGAATGTCAGAAAACCTCAGTAAGATTACGGAAGTTGTCCACAATATAACTATAGAAAGCCTGTCTTTCTAATTAACCTCCTACATTTTTAGCTTTACAGAACCCATCCAGTCGAGTTAATCTGTTCTAACATTTTTTCGTACAAAACCTGTCCGTGTTGGTTAACATGTTAATTTATCTATATGTCTTCCAGTAGATGGGTTCTGCTACAAAAAGCTATATAGAACCTTTTCATGTAGGGTGATTAACCTGCTACAACAATGCTCTCTCTCTCTCTATATATATATATATATATAGCTTATCCATGCAGGATGATTACCTTAGTACAACAAAACTACATAGAACCTATCCAGGCTGGTCAACCTGCTACAACAATGCTCTCTCTCTCTCTCTATATATATATATATAGCTTATCCATGCAGAGTAATTACCTTAGTACAACCAACAAAACTACATAGAACCTATCCAGGCTGGTCAACCTGCTACAACAATGCTCTCTCTCTCTCTATATATATATATAGCTTATCCATGCAGAGTAATTACCTTAGTACAACAAAACTACATAGAACCTATCCAGGCTGGTCAACCTGCTACAATTTATATGACAAGAAACTATCCAGGCGGGTCAACTAGCTACAATTTATATGAATAGAAACTATCCAAGCTTGTTAACTTGCTACAATTTATATGACTAGAAACTATCCAAGCTTTTAACTTGCTACAATTTATATGACTAGAAACTATCCAGGCGGGTCAACTTGCTACAATTTATATGAATAGAAACTATCCAAGTTTGTTAACTTGCTACAATTTATATGACTAGAAACTATCCAGGCTTGTTAACTTGCTACAATTTATATAAACATAACTTGTTCAGGCTGCCTTACCTACTACAACCTAGCTGTAGAAAATCTGCCCATACTGGTCAACTTGCTACAATTCATATATGACTAGAAACTATCCAGGCTTGTTAACTTGCTACAATTTACATGAATAGAAACTATCCAGGCTTGTTAACTTGCTACAATTTATATGACTAGAAACTATCAACAATAAGCTAGAAAGATCTCAATATCTAGAAGTTCATCAAATGAAACAAACTACAAAAACAAATCTTTAACTTTTACTAATTTAAAACATTTCTGTGTATCTGATTTGTGCAGTTTAAATAGACTGGATATTTCCTATGCAGCTAAGTTGTAGTAGGTAAGGCAGCTTGAACAAGTTACGTTTATATACATTATAGCAAGTTAACAAGCTTGGATAGTTTCTATTCATGTAAATTGTAGCAAGTTAACAAGCCTGGATAGTTTCTATTCATGTAAATTGTAGCAAGTTAACAAGCCTGGATAGTTTCTAGTCATATAAATTGTAGCAGGTTGACCAGTCTGGATAGTTTCTATTCATATAAATTGTAACAAGTTAACAAGCCTGGTTCTGGCTATTTGATTATGTAACGAGAAGAATACGAAGACAACTAATGATGTTTTGTTCTTTCATATAGGACGTTGCTAGGAAACGCCGAGGCCGATTGACGACGCCGATTCTGCACCCAAGTGTCCTGTAATGTGCAAGCGATGTTGCAGACAGTGCTAAGTTTTTATAGTTCTAAAGTACATTTACGCCACATCACGTAACACTGTTTAAACTAGTGCGAAGATTGTTGATCTTATAGTGAACTACGCAGATTGTGGATCTGAGAAACTACAAAGGTGTCACGTGTAGAAGCATTAACAAACTCTTGCACTGAATGGATATTTGGACTGGTCATTTATCTTTATCGGCATTTCTTCCAGACACTTAAAATCCTTATCAGTTAAAATATTAGTTTCATTTTGACAAAAAAAAAAAAGCATCTTCTAGGCACGATTACTTTGCAAGCCATTAACTCGGTTTTTAACCACTAGCCACTGGATTAATACAATTCTTATCACTGGTATCGGCTTCTAAGGTATAAAATGCTGAAGATCTGCAGTTAAGATGATAACTAAACTTAATATTTTCAAGTCGTTTTTATAGCGATCACAATTGCCCTTACGCTTGGAAAATGAGCATCTGGAGGGGTGGTTCTGAATCTCAAGACATTGCTGATTATTCTACAGAGCTTCTTCACGTTCCCAGGACTGAGGTCACTATGTCCACTACCTCCCGTCCCAGCGGATCAAGACGAAGTAGCCCTAGAGGTAGTCTACGCTATCGTTCTCCGTCCCCAGCCAATTCATCCAATCACATCGGTGGTTCTCCTTATCAGGAGACTACATTAGTGGAAGAGCTTATGGCATCCACAATCACTGATAACGTTGTTAGGCCTAACTCCCCACAAACAGATCTGGTGAGAAGAGTAACAGTGAAACTTTCCCGTCATCCTGATGATGAAATCGGTCTAGGGCTTTCTGGAGGTAAAGAAAATGATGAGAGAATCTTTGTGTCTAGTGTGATGCAAAATGGTGCGGCAGATAGAGCTGGGTTGTCTGTTGGAGATCAGATTATTGCACTCAACAATATATCAATCAACAATTTCACCCTTCAGGAGGTGCTACACGTACGTAACAATTATGATAATATTTGTAGGAATAAAAATTTCATCAATATAGTTAATTCAGTTTTATGGTAAACTTGGATAACGAGACAAATTTAGTTAAAACCGCATAGGCGACGAAAATATCAAAATTAAATAATAGGTTAAACAATCACCAAGTATTTATATATTTTTATTTAAAGAAAGAGGGCGTTTCGAGCTAGCGCTCTTAGTCAGATCGTACAGTTTACAGTTTACAAGGAAACGTACGAGTATTCTCATGCATCAGTGTGAAATATAAAAAACAGAAGCAGTAGGGAATGCGACAAAAGTAACTTTAACAAGTTAGGTTTATATCTGTACGTATGCTGTTGCGGTCAGTAAACGAGATTCAAATATGTTCGATGTTATGTCTAAGTAAAGAACACGAATTCTTTGGAAATAATAATGTAACCGCTTTTGTAATCGATTTTTTTGTGATGAAATATTGATCGTTTGTTGTAGAACTTCAAATGAGAAGTGATTAATTAGAAATAATATCAGAAAGCTTCTGAAGTAGTGAAATTTGAGATTCTTTAGGTTATTAAGGACATAAAGGGTTTGTTAATATGTCAGTCGACTTGTAAAGTACAGAATTCGTTTATTGCTTTTTTGTTTGTTTTCTTATTGATGTGGTAAGTGTTAAGTGTTTGATAAACTGTGAAAGGAAAAATGTGAGATGTGGAGTAAGAGGTTCGAATCTTGTCCGTTTTTAATTTTCACTTTTTTCAGACCAAAATCTAATTTATGTACATCTATTATAATAATACTCAATTTATGTCTGTCCTGAAAATGCATGCGCACTTCTTTTCAACGGATCTAAACAATAGGCGGATGTAAGTATACTTTAATAAACATTTTGTACAACAACACATTAAAAAGCTTATCAAAGTTTAAAAAAAGGTCTAACGTTAGGTCGTAGAATAACATTTTAAGTTTATCTGATGATAGTATTAAGTATGATAAAGTTTAGTTCTAACTAAAGGAAAGTAAAAACGTTAACAAATTACAGTGTTAATTTATCTCTTTATTGAACACAGGCCGTACTTAATAAAGGCTTAACTAAT